ACACGTAAGGAAGAAACTTTACTCTCATTGACTGCCACGTATTGTAATGAGATGACGGTTTGACACGTGGAAGACATGCTGATGAAGGAAGACGTGTTTGCTTGCATGCGAATCCCAGTGATGCCGTTACACTGTGGACGGGTGCTACTGCGTCTGGGAGATATCGATGATGCCCGATGCAGATGCTTCATGGCCATTAGGCAGATTCTGCGTCATCCGCTGTCAATCCAAGTGTCGTACCACGTGCCACGTGGCAAATCATTTTTTGATGTGTTGTGATGTCTCCAAACGCTTACCTTCTATTCCTTTAATTATCTGTCTGGTTCTAGTTCTGCAACATTATTAGCCTATGGTACTGTGAGCATAAAGTTGATTCTGTTTCATGAAAATTAAATTAAGTTATTCAATTAGAAATTTCCAGAATAAAGAATAAAAACTCCAAATATTTGTACAAGAATATAAATCAAAAGAAATAAATTAAGTTGCATTCGTTGCAGCATTCGTAAAGTTAGACTAATCAACCAAAATATCTTATCACTCACCAGGTTTGACAACATTGGGGGGATCATTAATAAGACTATATTTTACAATCTCAGATAATGCTACAAATACATTTGAAACTTATGGTGGCTGTTTACCATACTTTCCTCTTGTATATCTTTCTCCCTAATATAAGCGCCAATTCCATGCAATATTTGAAACTCACCTGCTTCAGGCTTGTACAGGTACCTGCACATTTGATTTACTGATTGTATATGATTTCTTATTTAAAGAGTAAAGTTCGAATCTCTCTTTTAATAATATAAAAAAAAACTTGTACAGTATTTGCCTAGAGACTGGATAACAAAGAAAACAGGCAATCTCGAGGTGCATCAGATTTCAAAGAAAGCAGCTAGTGCTAGTAGAGAAATATTCTGAGCTAAACGTTTAGTCTGTGAATTTAGTAGGAACCTTATCCATTATGGCCATCCAAGCGATTATACATCGTGTTTAGGAACAAGAAACTGAAATCAGATTGAGCCTTTTGAAAATCCCATGTATGCACCTTTACTTGAGTGCTTGATACATTCTAGGTGTTGGACCCTGAGCAGTAAATATCAACTCAATTTCACAAAAATTAGAAAATAAGTTTAATTCAACAATGATTATAATATAATTTATTTAAGTCAAATAAAAAAAAGTATATATCAACAAATATAACATGTAACAACTAAAAATAGAACACATTATATATACATGAAAAATTCTCCAATATCAAGAAAAAAATCACGAGACAGAATCCCAATATAATAATTCATAATGAAAAAAAGCCAATTACAAAGTTTAAAATCTCATGATGTCTTTTTGCCCAAAATGTAAGCTTAATAATTATTGAAATAATACAATAAAGGTACTACCAACCCTCACTGGATTTAACAAAATATAATAATTCTCTATGATCAAAACACTCCAAAACCCATCCCAGCAAAGACTAATAATTCTCTTGCTGATCTCTTCCTGCAGCAAAAGTTCTTGAATTTTCTGATATTTGTATTGTTAACCTTTAATTGTTTCATTTCTAATGTACAAAATAGCTGAATAGTTGTGATGTAGCTGAGCTTTCCCTGCTATCACTGGATTAATAAAAATACCATTTATCACAAAAAAAAAGGATTTATTTGCAATTACAAGTTTACGTAACTGCATCATCAAATTGCAAAACAATTTTCTTTAAATTATGTATTCCGTTACGCACCGGCTGGGTGGAAACTTATTTGTTTTTAACAAAGATGGAGTAGTCTATTGATTCATCAATCCAAAATATTTCCAGGTTCATTACTGACTTTGACATTCAATCTTCTAAGCCAAATAGAGTGAAGGATCATATGAAACACATCGAACCTCTTGGGAGTCACATGCAACTCGAAATGCCTTCTCACTTGGACCACTCTCCTCTGCATTCTTATATACTGCCTTTCTGGTATTCTCATCAATATTTTCTTCAGATTTGGAATATCTTCCAGGGAAACTATCACAGAGAACATCTTCCAATTCAAAACATCGCTAAATGGCGGCACGTAACTTTTCGAAATCAGCACTGGAACACAGCCATTGTACAAGGCCTCAACAACTCTCGGGCTCGCAACTTCATAACCACTGGGGCAAAGGCAATACTTACTCTGCCTCATTAGATCATAGTAAGGAACTCCTTTTGGAAGGTAATTGTGAACTCTAATATCCGGATCCTTTTTCTCCCAATGCCTAAAGAGTATTGGTCTTACAAAACCGTGATTCCCCCCTGCAAAAAATGCCAGGATTGTACGCTGTGAAGGAGACGGCCCGCCAATCAAGCCCTCTAGCCTACTGCTTTTGAGACTAATTTCTGGAATGGATACGTCCTTCATGGGGTTGAACCTTTCGGAGGTGTTTGCATTGCACAGAGCACGGACGGAGTTTTTCACTAGATCAGGAACGGAAAAACTAGTTGCAGGCCCCTGAAACAAAACTATAAGTAGTCAGAAATTAATGGAACATTATTTTAGCATCATAGTTCTGTTCTCTACTGTAAAGCCGAAAAAGCTAATTACCCAGTCATGGCAAGAAAGCATGAAATGGTCAGTGCCAAGGCTTCGATTCCAGAAGGGATATTTCCCTGCAATAACGTTTACATAGTCTAAGACGATCCCCCCTAAGCGTTTGATAGGCGTACCCCGCACCCAATTATATTGGACCAACCTTGTAACGCTGTAAGGAAGGTAAAATACATGGGCTTTCTCAGGATTGTAGGTTCGGAACTTTTTATTAACCTCCATCTTATTGATAAACTGTCCTTCCATAGTGTACAACAGCCTACAAGGACCGTCATGAAATAGTGGAAGCTCCCCTTCTTTGTAAACATATATCTTGAACTTTTTTTCCATTTCCAGGTAGCTCCTGTCATTGCAAACAAGAAGCAGAAAGTCCTGGAATTAGAGGAGGAAGCACTACAATATAGTAAAAACCATGAAAAGTTCTCTTAAGTACACCAAATAGCATTGAGATTGTTTCCTTACCTGGAAACAAAAGGCAAACACTGACCTTATTTCCTCAATAAAGATGTAGCGTAAAATTGGAACATTTGCTTACTTAATTTTATTCTTGTGGGAATGACGAACTACGGAATTACTCTTTCCTTTGTATCTAAACTCCAAAATCAAGTTTGGTTTAGTTATTGCTCCAAGTGCGAGTGTAGCTAAGATTTTTTTTTTCTTAATGCTATGAATTTAGCTAGGAAATTGGATAATTAGGAAATGGAGAGGGGGTGAGGTAGACACGGGCTGCAATTAACACGGCCACCCTCAGCTCATAGGCTTGAACTGGACATGGGCAACTCTTAATATCCACCACCAAACCCACAGGTTGCCTTGATTGCATAACTTTTGGGCTACAAGACAGGGCCTAGATTTGGGGTGAGGAAACACTTACAGGTCCACCCTATACTTTCATGAGTGTCCAAACGCAGGGCATTCCTGCATAAGACAAGACAAAGGTGTTGGGAAATGGAGAACCTTCGTAGGCCATGTTTGCCGCAACAGGGCTTGTTGTTTCTGTTGGATTCCCATTGCAGTTGGAGTCGCTTGTCTTTTCCACAGATTGTAGTGCCTTCCACTAGTTGACGGGGTGGTCCAATAATGCGACTTGGAGCATGCAAACAAATTTAGCATCACCCCGGCGAAGGAAAATTCATGTGCACGGAGATAATAACTCCCCTATCGCAGCCTTGTGATCGACAAGCCGAGTTAAGCTTGGATGGGGATTAAGTTGAGGTCCTTTGATAGTAAATGAGTGGCTCTTAACATTGCTAACTTCGAAAATGTTTGGAAATGAATTATTTCTACTTTTACAGAAGATGCATATCGATGATAGACAATCACCCCTAAATCTCTTTTACAACAACAAACTACTGATTTTCAAGTTTCATTTGGGAGTAAAACAGAAATTTGTATTTTAACTTAATAATAAAGGGATTAACTCGAAAAATGATGTAAATAGATATAATATATATATATATATATATAATCCTTGAGCAAAAGAGAAGGAGAATGTGAAAAATGCTAATAACCTGCTAAAGATGATGGGATACCTGTGAAAGAATTTGGCATTCCTGTATATGGGGCCATCGGGGATGTAATCAGGATCCTGTAATTGACTCCCTTTCAGAGCTTCTTTAATGGCAGCTCGAGCTTTCCGTAGACCATCTTCCAGCCTATCCAAGTTAGTGTAGACTCTTCGTCTTCTGTGCTTCAAAGGAGGATCAATCGATTCATTTTCTTTGAAGGGTGTGGTGGAGCTGAAGTCTTCGCTTATTGACATGTTTGGGTTGTCTTCATTGCTGCCGTTCTGTTGAATTAATCATAATTAAAGTCACTAAGCAAACCATATAATTTAGGGAGGGAAGCATTGCATTGACATCAAGTGAAATATTGAAAAAATCCACATCCTACTCACAATTGGTCTAAAATTTCTTACACTAATTACTTAAGGGCAAGTGTTAGTTATAAGATTTGCATGCCCAAGGAATAATCAAGTAAGGATGAATAAAGGATATGTTGTCAACTTTTTTTCTTTCTTGATGTTCATATAGTTTAATGACTGAGCCATTTAACTTTGCAATTTTTGAACTTTTTCCAATAAAAAAAAGAATGTTAAAATATTAATAATGGCACCCTATTTGTATAAGAATAAATGATATTTTACATAATAATTGAGAGTGGACAATGACGGTTAACAGTAATTATGCTTTTAAACTTGATGATTAAATACCTATTGCATCAATAATGCCTTAAAAAGTAATGAGTTTGAGTGATCAGAATGTAAAAATTCAATAAAGATTCCGTGATAAATCAGAAAAATTTAAAATCAAGCGCATAATTTCTGATAAGCATTATATTTCCTAATTTGGGAGAACAAACTCAATCAACGAGGCAACAATGAGATCACTAACTTCACATAAAGCAAAGGGAAAAGACACGAAGTCATGGACCTAAATTCTTAAGTGCTTATCAGAATCAACAAAATTAAGCTAAAAATGCAGTAAATGACACAAATTAAAGAGATGTGGTCCTAACTTCTAAGCCATCATACTCAAGCAATTGATAAAGACATAAGCAGCGGAGAATGTAAGAAACTGTCCATGAGAGAGAGAAAAAAGCTCTTACAAACTGCTGAACTTGCAAGGACTGAGCATCAATTGTTGGTGAAACAGACTTGCTGAGGGCAGCCTCATTTGACAAATCTTCTTTCCTGCGGTGATCATCCACGGACACTACCACCTCTGAATGCAAATCTACTGGACTATCACTTTCTTTTGCATGTAAACTTGGCCTCTGTACTGCATCTAAATTAGTGTTTGAAGAAGATGAAGTAGGGACAGCATAAATTAAAGCCCAGTAGGAGCGTCTTTGAACAAAAAGGGAAGCAGAACCTGACACCAGAATCAAAAGCGCTGCAAACAGAACAACCTTAAACGATGATGCAGTTTTGGCAAACCAATTCTTGAATCCTTCACCCATCTCTCCTTCTCAAGGAGTTATCTCAGAATCTTTATGTGAAATAATGGAAGCATGTTTGCAATCAACACACAAAGTAAGAGTTGGGTTTTTAGGAAACTGACCAAAACAAAAGGGTTGCACCTCCAAGCAGGCCAACCTTTTTTTCCCTGCTTCATTATTTATCTGTATTCCTCTTAGCCAATTTTCCAGTTCATATACTCATTTACTGCTTTGAAAAGGATGGTTATTATATAGTAGTGTACCACAAAGGTCAGTTTCAGACTCTCAAAACTGTGGCTGTTAGTGCTTATCGTTTATTCCTTTTACTCCAGTATTTGCTTCTTGGTTGCACATAAATACCTGTAATTTTTTTTTGTTAAACAATAATAATGTTTTATAGGGTTACATTTATAAATTTATTAAATAAAGAATTCTAAAAAAGTAAATTATGTTTTAATGAAAGTGATTCAACAAAATTAAAATTCTTACCTCTATATGAGATAAACCTTGTAACTATATTAATTTATTATTATAATTGCTATCTATAATCAACAAGAATTTTTTAAAATGGTAATTCAGAAATAAAAGCAACAAAGGTGTTCTTGCATAAATTAATTTGGTGGAGGGTGATAATTGAATTCTTATTCATTTTCTAAAGAATCAGGGACAGCTGGGCAGTCCCAAAACAAGTAGTAATTGGCTAAAATAGACTGGCTAAAACAGGCTTGATTCCAAGCTAAAATATCTTGGTAACCGTGAATGAGAAATTACACATGCACCTTCACATCTTCAGCACAAAAATACAGCATATAATTAGAAAGCTCAAATTCCAATGAGCCAGCGCAATTGTGCTGAACTGCTTCATCGAATGGCTAGAGAGTGTTCCTGAATTATGTAACCCATTCCCTAATAGCTGACTTAGCTGACATCTCTTCACAAAGACGGATGGTACAATTGGTTCATCAATCGGAAATCTCTTCAACATCATTACTGAGCACTCTACTGTTTAATCTTCTTAGCCAAATTGAATGAAGGATCATATGGAAAACATCAAACCTCTTCGCCGGAGAATTCAACTGAAAATGCCTTCTAACTTGAACTACCCTCTTCTGCATTCTTATATATTGCCTTTGTGGTATACTCATCAAGAGTTTCATCAGATTTGGAATGTCTTCCAGGGAAATTGTCACAGAGAACATCTTCCAATTCAAAACATCACTGAATATCGGCACGTACCCTTTTGACATCAGCACCGGGACGCAGCCATTGTACAAGGCCTCAACAACATTCGGGCTTGCAACTTCATAACCACTGGGGCAAAGGCAGTGTTTGCTCTGTCTCATTAAATCATAGTAAGATACTCTGGTTGGAAGATAATGGTGAACTCTAATATCTGGATTTTTTTCTCCCAGGGCTCAGAGTATTGGTCTGACAGCCGACAGGGCCATGATTCCCTCCTGCAAAGAAAGCCAGGATTGGATTTGGACGCTCCTGTTATGGAGATGGCCCGCCAATCGAGCCCTCTAGCTTACTTACTCGGAGATTGATTCCTGGAATGAACCCTTCGGAGGTGTTTGCATTGCATAGAGCACGAATGGAGTATTTCACTAGATCAGGAACGTAAAAACTAGTTGTAGGTCCCAGAACAAAACTGAAAGGGTTCAGAAATCAATGTTACAATATTGGTTCAGGATCATAACTCACGAATCTATTTCTTATAGCCCTTTTAGCTCAAAAGATTTTTTTTTCTCATCAGATGTGAGGTAGGGGAAAGCTTACCCAGTCACGGCAAGCAAGCATGAAATGATCAGCACCTAGGCTTCGATTCCAATATGGTGGTTTGGCGGCAATAACGTTTCATAGTTCAAGACGATCCTCCCTAAGGAATTCAAATAACCGCTGTTACAAACTAATTTGCGCATTCTTCTTACGCTTTAAGGAAGGAAAAATACGTGGGCTTTCTCAAAATCATGGGTTCGAAACTTTTTATTCATTTCCATCTTACTGATAAACTGTCCTTCTATAGTGTATAACATCATGCAAGGACCGTCATGATGATGTTGAAATTCCAGGTAGCTCCTATCCTGCAAGGACCGTCATGATCATGGAAGCTCCCCTTCTTTGCAGAGGAATATCGTGAACCGTTTTTCCATTTCCGGGCAGCTCCTATCATTGCAAAAAAATTGGAAGCAGAAATCCTGGTATAGAAAATATAAAGGCTATCAGTCTCAAGTCCCCAAATTAATTTTGAAAATATTCCTTACTAGAGAAAAGATGACGTCCTACTTAACTTTGAGTGGTAATGATGAATTGTGAAATAACTCCATGCTTTGCATCTAAAGTGCACTGATTATTGCTCATTACCAAGGGGTGGTTGTTTTCAAACTGTAATACTACTAGACAGAAGCACCTACACAAACATCAGGCCAGCCACAGCTCATGGGCTTAACCGTCCAAAGCATACAAAAAACTAAAATAAAATAAAATACCCTTACACCTTTAAATTTTAATCAAAATTCTAAATGGATCTATTAATTTTTGAAATGAATCTTAAGCCTTAAAAAAATTAATAAAAATTAAGATAAAATAGCTTGATCTCTTAAGTTTTGATTGAAATTACACAAAGGTTTATTTCAAAAACTAATAGACCTTTATATAATTTTTACCAAAACTTAGAGGGATCATGATATTTAATCTTAAAAATTATAAAATAGTAATTTTTAAAATTAATAAATGATAAAATTATCATTTTAATATTATCACATCATTAAACTTGACTAACGGTTGGATCTATGTGTCTAGTGAAAGATATTTTTTTTGAACAGAGTATCCATTTCAAAAACTAATAGATTTGTTTAAAATTTCGATTAAAATTTAAAGGTTGGGTGTGTTTTATAAAAAAAAAACCTTTAATTGGCCTTTTCTTTGGAAAATCTCTATTTTATTGTAGTGACTTAAATCTAAACAACACGATGTAGTAAGTCTTAAAATTTAAAACACATAATTTTCAAAAATTTAAATTCAAGTTATTAGTAGTGATGAGTTAGAATAGGTTTATATATATAATCTTAACAATTATATTTACATCTAATATGAGACAGGATATCACAATTCTACTTACTTAAATATTTGATGTCTTCATTAAAATGACACATCACAATTAAAATAAATACCCATTTTACAAGATCAGATCTTTTTTTCAACACTAGGTCAAGATCACGAGTGGAGCGTGCCGTTTCAAAATTTTTAAAAATTTCTTATACCTCTCAAAATTTTAAAAATTTTTATATATTATATATATTTTTAATGGTCTTTAAAGTTTTTATTTATTTATTATTATTTATTTTTAATTTTATTTATTTTTTTTAAAATTTTACGAACCATCAATCATATTTTTTTTTCATTTTTCTTATGTAAGTTCTATCTTCTACTTGTTATGTTTTTTTTATTATATGAATTTTATTTTCAACGATTTTATTTTTTAAAAATTAAAAAATTTTATATAATTCTTAAATATAAGTTGTAGCATTACATTATTGGTTGTTACTTAAAATTTCACCAATATATCATTTTTTTATTAACCATGATTATATAAGAAGAAATTATCTTGAATATATCTTTTTTATGTGCTTTGCGTTTCATTATTTTGAGTTTTTAGTCCTCAAACAATCCTGATTATATAAAAAGAAATTATTAATTTTGTATATCATATTTAACTATTTATATGTTATGAATTATAGTTTTATATTTAGTATTTTAAGTTTAAATACAAATAAAATAAAAATACTAAAAGTTGACTACATTAATTTTTTAGTTGTTTATATTGAGAAGATAAGAATTTGAAATAAAATAAATGATGAGTTTCTTATAAATAATTTAGTTGTTTAAATTAAGAAAAACATTATTAACCTTTACAGTGTAGAATTAATAATTGATTAATTTGAATCTAGAAAATATTTGAATACAACTTTCTTAAAAACCTATTTAGAGAAAAGGATTCGAACTTTATTTTTTTTAAGAGGGAGATCATACACAAATTAATGAGCCAAATACTTAGATGTGTCTATTAATGATTAAGTTCAACATATTAATTTTAAAATTTTTTAATTTTTACTTCTTTTATCTTTGGCCTCTGTAATAAAAATTGATTAGGTCCACCTTTCGTCAAGATGCCATTAACATAATGTGAAAGCTCTTACAAACTAATATATGCTTTGATATAAATTGTAACAACCCTAATTCAAATATTGTTGATCCAACAACTTTTCAAACTTAAATCACATATAGTTCTCAAAAATTTAAATTCAAGTTATTAGTAATGATTGACTTAAACGTTTATATAAATTTTAACAATTACATTCACATCTAATATGAGATACTTAAACTTAATATATTAATAATCTATATGATATAATAATATCGTTAGTTATACTAAAATTTATGCTTCTATTTAATTTAAAATGTTATCAAAGTTAATGAGAAAAAACATTCAGTTCGAGAAAATTATAAAGTCAAATATTTTATTGAATGCTATATGAAATATTCTTTTTCAATTAATTTATATCAAATATGAATCAAAACAAACGTATGATACTCAAACTGAAGTAGTATTTTAAAATCATCATGATGATTTAAATAAAAGGTAATTTTATTACTATAGTAATATCATCAATGGTGATTCAATTTGATTTTGAATTGTAATCATAAATTATTGAGATTAAAGATTATCATATGTGATATCACTTAAAAATCAAATATCATTTCGTATAAAATATCAAAATAATCATATTTTAAAAGAAAATTGAAATATAATAATAAAATTACTCATTGACACATAGTATATTGTATTCCCATAAATTAATAATTATCTCATTATATATATATATATATAAATCACTTTACTCATGAATATAAGTGTCTATAGATGAGAGCAGTTTACACCTTTCAAACTCAAACTCGGAGCTGAACCGAACGTGGTGGACATGGATTTAGGTTATTAATAATTGTTAAAATATTAAAAAAAAAATTTCTAATATATATTTAAAATAAATTTAAATAAAAATAATATCTTTATTAAAATACTGCTATCTCGAAGACCGAATACAACCAAACCAAAAAATCAGATCCAGTGGACCCTACTGCTCACGCCAGAGACTGTTTG